AGACACCTATCAGACTCCCTCTGCCCCCACTGCCCCCCGTGGGACACTGCCCCAGACACCTATCAGACCCCCTCTGCCCGCCCCCCGGGGACACCGCCCCAGCGCTGTGGAGAAGCCGGGGTGTGGATCTCCTGAGAAACAGCCTCCCAAAGCCAGTTTTCAAATGTCTCAATTTAGTTAAAAGTGTTGTGCTTGTTTGTTTATTTATTTATTTATGTTTTTAATCCTCACTGGAGGATGTTTTTTCCATTAATTTTTTTTTTTTTTAGAGAGAGTGGAAAGGAAGGGGAGGAAACAGAGAGAGAGAGAGAGAGAGACATCGATGTGAGGGAGACACATCAATTGGTTGCCTCCCGCATGCGCTCCAACCGGGGCCAGAGATGGAACCTGCAACCCAGGTGCATGCTCTTGACTGAGTTCCAAGGGCCAGCACTCTAACTACTGAGCAAAACCGGCCGATGGATTTTTTTAAATATATATTTTTGATTTCAGAGAGAAAGGGAGAGGGAGAGGGAAACATCAATGATGAGAGAGAATCATTGATCGGCTGCCTCCTGCACACCCCCATTGGGGATCCAGCCGGAAACCTAGGCATGTGCCCTTGACCAGAATCAAACCTGGGACCCTGCAGTCCGCAGGCTGACGCTCTGTCCACTAAGCCAAACCGGCTAGAGCTTGTCCTGGATTTTGCTTGGCTCTCAGTCCTGCCTGTTTCATGTTTTCCTGATGAGGTCATGTGGCCAACATTTGGATATGATGAGTGATTGTGGGTTTTGCTGGAAAACACAACCAAGAAGCATGTACCTCGGTTGCAGGCTCCTCCCTGGCCCGGGCCCTGGTCGGGGCTCGTGTAGGAGGCGACCAATCGATGTGTCTTCACGTCCATTTTCTCTCTCCTTCCCTCTCTCTCCTCTCCCTAAAAACCAATGGCAAGATATCCTCCGGATGAGGATCAACAAAAACAAAAAAAACACCAAAACCCCACAAATACACCTCGTCCATAGGTTCTTGGAAATGGCGTAGGCAGAACCGAACCAACCCCGCCACCGGGTTAGCGGCTGTAAGCAGAGCGGGGCCCCTCGGGCATCTCGCGGGTCATCGGACAGGACACCGGCCAAACGCTCCGAGGCCTGAGAGCCCGCCCACCCCGAAGGCAGAGCGAGCACTGGGGACACAGCGCCCCCCGGTGGCCGGCCGCGCGGACTGACCTTGCGGAAAGTCACGTTCTGGTTGGCCCAGAACTGCTGGTTCCATTCCTGCGTGTCCTGCCGGAGCTCCCGGAGCTTCCGTTCCGCTGCGGACTCGTCCTCGGGGACATGGAAGTGAACGGGCCGCAGGTTTGAGTGTTTATCTGGGGGTCCGATCCAGTCGTGGCACGATTTCCTGGGAGGGCAGAACGTCGAGACCTTGCACAGCACAGAACGCAGGGGTTATTTTAACACGCGACTCGCGACTCGGCAGTGTCTAAGCTGAACGGCCCGGGGAGCGACAGGCCCGCGTGCCCGTTTGGAAGGACGATGGTAAATGCGCCGTCAGCACTCCGCCAGAGCGCTCCCAGGGCGGAGGAACCAGCCCTCCTGCACCAGGCCTCCGCCTGCGCTCTGCACCAGCTGCCAGCGTTCCCTCAGGACGGTCAGACCTGAATGTACAGTCCGAAACTAGAACTGGTAAAGCGCAGCCGCAGATGTACAGCCTCAGGGGCGGCTCACACGTCCCCGACACCAAAGCGCAATCCGTGAAACAAGAGCCGTGACCGGCCGCCCCAGCTACAGGCTCTGCTGCCCGGGACCCTGCGGGAGGGAGACGGCCCAGGGGACCGAGACGGGCAAAGCTGGGCGTCTGGTTTCACATTCACACACTTCTCCAAACTCAGCCACAAAACAGACCACCGGGTGGGAAAATGGGCAAAACCGCTAAATAAGTTTCTCTGAAGATACAGAGACAGCAACAAGCACATAAGAACATGTCTAGCCCGGCCGCTGGGCTCAGTGGGTGAGGTCGGCCTGTGATCCAGGTCAGGTTTGATTCCCCGGCGGGACTCAGGCCGGGGTTGTGGGCTCAATCCCCAGTGTGGGGCGTGCAGGAGGCAGCCGATCCATGATTCTCTCTCATCGTTGTTGTTTCTCTCCCTCTCCCTCTCCCTTCCTCTGTGAAATCAAGACAAATACATTTTTTAAAATGCTTAACATAAGTAGGGAAATGCAAACCAAAAACCTCAGTGAGGGGCCACTTCTCACTCACTGATACTGCTTAAACACACACACAAACACAATTCCAAGTGCTGTCGAGATGTACTCCATCCCCAGTAGGGGGCGTGCAGGT